CGGGGGCCAGCATGAGGGAACTAAAGTGATGGCGCAAAATTCAACAGATACCTAGTTCTTAACTAACGAATTCACAGGAGAAAAGAGAAATCAGTCAGGAGAATTAGGTACAGGACCGCACAAAGGAAACATATCTCGTAATTACAGCGGGCTGGGATCAATATAGCAATGAAAAGAACTAGGCGATTTCTATCTGCCTGACGTTGGTAGGGTCGGTTCCAGGGCAAATGGCAGTGGTCGCTGCGCCTTTTTGGAAGGAATGTGTGAGGCTTCTGTGACTGAGGCCGTGTCGTCCAGAGTCTTTTTGATCCTTTTCGTGAGAGCATCTCTTGAAGGCGGTGTCCGAAGCTTGCTAAAAAAGAAACTGCCCAGATTTGGAGAGAGGTAGTTTTCGAACACTCGCCACAACATCATCATTTGCCCGCAGACCGGAAAACGATCACCGCCCCTACTCCCTCTTAATCTGTCTTCGATTTCCGTACAGCAAGCCACCAAATATTATCTTCTTTGTATGAGACGTCTCCAACGCGAAGAGCGCATAGCTCACTGATTCCAAGAAAAGCCACGAATAGCAGAAGAACAGCGGAAACGCCAGCTATTGTTGAAAGCGTCTTCCTGTTCAAAGCCCACTCGATCCCCACGTCGTATTGTGTAGCTTTTCTCCTGTGCTTCATTGGATGGCTGCTCCTGTTGACCGAACGGAGAAGAGCTTTTGATATGTCTTGATCATCCTGAGGAAAAGGGCTAAAGAAATGGAACAATGCTGCGATATGGTATCCTAGCGACCTAGTTCTTCCTTTTCGATGAGGTGCGCCACGAAAACGTTCTTGAGCTTGTGTTCCGATAAATATAGGAAATTTTTCTGTACTCGTCTATTTATCTTCATAGTTCCGCCGACTACCGCGCTGTCGAAACTCTCTCCAGTCAAAGCTGTCTCCTTGCTAAAACCAGCGCATAAAGCCAATTTCGCCGTTTCATCTACCCTCCCAATCTGAGAGTCCAGCCGGAGATCTGAAAGAAAGCCCATCAGAACAGAGCGAATTCGTTCGTCCTTAGACACCCAGATGTTTCATTTATCAGGGGTCCATTTAGGCGAGCCGGAAAATCTGTTGTCCTAAGGTGATATCTTATCGCTATAGAATAAGCTTATTTTATCGAAGCTGCCACTACGCCAAAGAGGGGGCCATCTTGTGAAATTCAGCACAAGGGTGGATGGGTCTGAGTGACGAAAAACCAGAATAGTAATCGCGAGGGACGAGCCCTCGCCGCAACTTAGCTTCTCCTCTTTCCTTGGCTCCCTGACAAGGCCTGTTGCGAAATCTCAAAATGCCACTTTTGCCTCCGATATACTACGACAAAACCTACTTTTGATTCGCAATACCAAAACGGAAATTCAAAGCCGGGGGTTAGAAACGAAGGAGAGCAAAAGCAAAGTCAAATTTAAGGGAAGATGCGCCAAACGCGTGTAAGAGAGGGGGGAGGGGGGTGGCCCTTAAGCACCAGACATCCAGCTGGAAAAAACTTTAGCTGTACTATTTCCGATATCCAGTGATTACCTCCTCGTAAAGAAAAGAAATATATATTGGTTGGCCAAACGGGGAAGCCCAAAATACCTGTACTACGGTATCGTTCAGCACAGATCATAGTTTTAGCGATAAGATAAGAAGGAGGAACTCACCAAGCAGATCCATTTTTCACCAGATGGCTGCTTGCGAAGAAAGGCGTCAACCGCCACTGCTTCGGGACAGCTTTCTAGAAATAAACAAGGCGCATTTCCTAATAGACTGAATAGCGAAAAAATCCACAGAACAATATCCC